AAATAAAATAAACTACTACTTACTACTTGTACTACTATTCCTACTTCACAGTTTTTCACTTATCACGGGTCTTCAGGATACGGATCCCCTGCGATAAACGAGGGACTGCTTTATATGTGTCACTTTCTTTACTTTTTGTCTATCTAAACAGGTCTCACTTGTAAAAGAGTCTTCAAGGCTAAATGTGATTTAGCTGTATAAATAAAGGTGGAATGAATGAGTCAGTCACAGTCAACCCAGATGATGTTAAACTGACCATGGTGTTTTAAATTCCAGGGTGAATTGGGTCCCCCAGGTCGTCCCGGACCAGCTGGGCCAGAAGGAGTGGGCATTCAGGGAGAAAAGGTCTTGTGCTTAGATTACTCCATCTATATGATACACTGCCTTAAACAAACAAGTAGAAGTGCATTAACAAAAAAAAAAAAAGTTTAATGAATTAAAATCTGCAGGGAATTGAAGGACCAAGAGGTCCACCGGGAGGCAGAGGACTTCCAGGGGAAGGTTTACCTGGACCTAAGGTTTGTTGAAACTTGAATAATATATATTTGTGAAAGCAAATTGGAAACAAGTTGTAATTTTACACTTTGCTCTCCTATTTACTTGTACTAATAAATAGAAAACTACTGCTGATTAAGTGCATTACATGTAAAATGTGCCAGAATTACCATTATTTTAGAAAACTATGTAACTTCCTCATCTACTATTACTATGACATAATGTAAAAATGTGGTTTTATTAACCTAGTATTTTATCATTAATACAAAATAATAAGAAAGACAAGAAAATATTGTAATTGTTCCAAAAAAGCACTTTTTTTGTTTTACCAACAGAGTTTTCAGAGCGCTCTGTCATAAAAGAGTGCATTCAAAGCCAAAGTAATGACAGTAGTTTCTCTAAGCCAAGCACAGGCTTAGATTATTCCAGAAACTTCAGTAATATACAGTACATCCATCCATTATCTTTTACCCGCTTCTTCCATTTTGGGTCGTGGTTATCACAGGTACCCATGTCCAGCTATCACTGTGCAAGAGATGGAGGACACCCTGGACAGTTCTCCAGTCCTTCACAGGGACACATAGATAGAGACAAACGAGACAAACAACCATTCACTCTCTCACTCACACCTAGGGACAATTTAGAGTTACTAATCAGCCTAACGTGCATGTTTTTGATCTGTGGGAGGAAACCAGAGGACCTGGAGAAAACCTACATATGCATGGAGAGAACATGCAAACTCCACCCAGACAGGTCCCAGGCCAGAATTTGAACCAGTGACCTTCTCGCTGAGAGGCAACAGCTCTACCAACAGAGTCACCGTGCCGCCCACCTGAAAAATCATTATCCATCCATCCATTATCTTTACCCGCTTATTCCATTTTGGGTCACGGGGGTTGCTGGTGCCCATGTCCAGCAATCACTGTGCGAGGGGCGGGGTACACCCTGGACAGGTCGCAAGTCCATCACAGGGACACATAGAGACAAACGAGACAAACAACCATTCACTTTCTCACTCACCTAGGGACAATTTAGAGTTACCAATCAGCCTAACATGCATGTTTTTGGTCTGTGGGAGGAAACCGGAGTACCCGGAGAAAACCCACGCATGCACGGAGAGAACATGCAAACTCCACCCAGAAAGGCCCCTGGACCGGGGTTTGAACCAAGGACCTGCTCGCTGAGAGGCAGCTCTACCACCGTGCTGCCTTGAAAAATCATTATCTCAAATAGAAATAATAAAAAAACATGAATAGTGTTGTTTCAGGATAAAAAAAATCTAAGTCATTAGTTTTAATAGCCTTTGTTCTTCTGTCACTTCTATTGTCAGGGAGACCAAGGCTTACCAGGAGAGCAGGGTGCTCCAGGGGAACGAGGCATTGGTGAATCTGGTCCAAAAGTAAGACAGATGGTTCCATAAGAAAACATCAATTCTAATTGTAGCCTTTGGTATCTGTGGGTATGACAAGTATGCTATGGTAACAAATCTTACTGAAAAGATAAAAATATTTGTTTGCCATCACAGGGAGAACCTGGAGCATCAGGACTTGGTGGTCTACCTGGTCTTCCAGGGGAAGATGGAGCTCCAGGCCAAAAGGTAAAGTATATATGCTTATTTGGCAGAAATAGTTTTAATTTTTAACCCAGAAGTGCTTGAATCTTATTTTTATCCATTGGTTTAAAGAGAAAAAAATGACCATTCTGAATATTTGCTGAACTTGTTGTGTGCTTTTAACAGGGGGAGCCTGGTTTACCGGGTTTAAGAGGTCCTGATGGGCCACAAGGAATTGGCATTCAAGGAGAAAAGGCACGACTGGAACAATATATTTTATGTAGAGCACATTTTATATTATTTATTAATATACTCAAAATCTGTGGTTCCCCCTCGCAGGGCGACCAGGGTATGAGGGGCATCCGTGGACTACATGGGCCTCCTGGGATCCCAGGACCTTCTGGACCAAAAGTAAAAAATTTGCAAACGCAAGAAAAAACAACATTGTAGGGCATTGTGACTTTTGAAATAGAAGTAGCTCTTTAACTTTGCTCATCATTTACACTATCATAAAACTGTTATTTAAGATTTATGTCACAATAATCTATCTTTTGAACAGAGCCAAAGTATGACTCTTTAATTTATTGTTGGCAGCACAGCATTTCTAGAGATGCACACATGACTGCATCCTAAGACTCCAGCCAACTTTTATTTTTTCCAGGGTGAACGTGGAATTCCAGGCCCACAGGGCATCCTAGGGCAGCCAGGACGGTCCATATCAGGTCCAAAGGTAAAATAAAAACGTCTTCAGTCAACACCGATCTTAGCAAATAGCCAGAAGAGCCTGCAAACAATTTCATGTAAAAGAAAACAAGCTGACACAAGTCATCAACTTGACTTTTTTATTTTCTGGTGCTTAGGGTGAAGCAGGTCCTCCTGGTCCTCCAGGTCCTATCGGAGAAACAGGCCTTGGACTACCAGGTCCAAAGGTAATGATATTTTTTTAGATTAAATATTGAACATATTCACATAGACAGCAAAGTGCCATTAATTTCAATCTTTGAATTTTGTATTACCAGGGTGACCGTGGTCATCAGGGTTTACCAGGTCCTCTTGGTCCAAAAGGTGAAGGCATCCAAGGCCCCGAGGTTTGTATCACCAGTTAAAACACTGACTGATTAAATTCTGTGCATCTGACATGAATGAAATCTCGTTGAACAACAAAAATCTGTTTTTAGGGTCCTCCAGGCTTACCAGGGTTACCAGGTGAGCCTGGATCAGAAGGAGTGGGCATCCCTGGTCCAAAGGTTTGTGTCTTCATGGACTCGTGACCTGATCTGTTAATTTTTTTTTATGTTCTTGTTATTTAGATGTGTGTGTTGTACAGTTTTTGTAATGGTATTCATGTCTGTTCCAGGGAGACGTTGGCTTTAGAGGATTACCAGGTTTGCCCGGTCCACCTGGTGAGGGCTTACAGGGGCCACCAGTAAGAAATATTGCCTACCTTATGGTTTGATCAAGAAGAAATTTATTTTGTTTTAGCCACAGTACAAATTATTGTTAAACCAATTTGGAGGAATTTTTATGCATAAAGGGTAACGGCAGTTTACCAAAGGCACAAGTTTAAGAAAATGTGGCCGTATTGGGCTGGACTTTATAATTCTGACTTGTTTACACAAAGAATGTGTGAAAAACTTTCAAACTAAAGTACGAGTTAAAAAAAATTGCTGTTCGGTTGTTCATTTCTAAGTTATAGTTGGTAAACATTTGAGTGTACAGAGTTAAAAAATGTTTTAATGTTACAGAACATGTGTACTGTGTATAAGTAAGACAATAGTCCTTATGTGTAATACTTGTATAATATTTATAGGGTAATATTGGGAGACCAGGACCTCTTGGTCCAGCTGGGCCTGCAGGACAAGGTATTCAAGGGCCAAAGGTGAATCACTGTTTTCCTTTAATGCAACGCAAGTGAAGCAAACACTGTGCTTACTAATTGGTGATAGCATGTTCCACTAAAAAACTACTTAAGATATTGGCAACTAAGGAATAAATTATGGCAATTCAAAGGTTTAAAAAGTCCTGTGATTTATTTTAATTATCTAATCTCAGGGAGAACCAGGCTCTCAAGGTATGACTGGACCCAGAGGGCCTCAAGGAGAGGGATTTCCTGGACCTAAGGTGACGGGTTTCCACACATTGTCTGAACAGTTTATCAATGTTTCATTTACTGATCAATGATCAAGAAATATCTTTTCACTGAGACAGGGAGACCGTGGATTACAGGGTGAAAGAGGATTGAAAGGTACAAAAGGAGATATGGGAGATTCTGGAGTTCCTGGAGAAATGGTAAAATATAATTTAATAAGTAATTAAAAGTAACAATCCTTGAAGTACTGTATTTCGGAATCAAATGACATTTTCCGAAAGTTTTGTTAAAATGTGTCAAGTCGTTCATTAGACGTTTTACTAATAGACAGACAGAGTCATCTCCAGTGGCTGGTACAAAGTATAAAGATTTTATGCCATAATCTTTTATAGTCAAATATTGCTTGGAGTATGTGATGAAAATGAACTTCAACTACCACCACCCCACCAAATTTTATCTCAATTTTGGTAAAATTGACAGTTATATCCATTTTGTGTGGTCTAAGGTCAGTTGGCTGTGGCAGCCATCTTGAATACTGTTGACTCCAAAACAGTTGTACATTCAATGATTACTTTTTGAAAGTTTTAATAAAAGTCACTATAGATCATGAAACATGTTTCTAAGACAAAATAAAATTACACATTCAGACATTTTTCCCTGTTTGGCGGCAGACAATAATGTCAGTGTACCTAAAGTGTCTAACATACAGTATATGAATGCTGGTATACTGGTAAGTTGAACTGGCAACTTGAAAACAATAGGTCATCAGTACAATCATGGATCTATATGTTTTAACACTAAGACCAACACAGTAATACTATTTTCAACTTTTCTTTATTTCCAGGGGAGATCAGGGACAAAAGGAGAACCAGGCCTCACCGTAAATTTGTTAAATTAACCTTGGTTTATTTAAAATTAAAATTAAAATTAAAATTAAAAACAGACCTATTCAACCAATGTGTGTTTTTTACATCTTTCAGAAAGAAGATGTTATCAAGTTGATAAAAGAAATATGTGGTAAGACTGCAAGCCAAGCTTAGTGTGATGCTAAATATCAGTAGTTTTCTCAAGCTATTTGTTTTTGGTCATTTTTCAGGATGTGGCATCAAGTGTAAAGAAAGACCCATGGAGCTTGTCTTCGTGATCGACAGTTCAGAAAGTGTCGGTCCGGAGAATTTTGAGATCGTCAAAGACTTTGTCACAAGATTGGTGGACAGAACCACCGTTGGACGAAACGCTACCAGAATCGGGTTGGTTCTCTACAGTCTCGACGTCCAGTTGGAGTTCAACTTGGCTCGTTATATGAGCAAGGAGGATGTCAAACAAGCTATCAGAAAAATGCTTTACATGGGTGAGGGCACTTACACGGGGACTGCCATAAGAAAAGCGACTCAGGAGGCCTTTTTCAGTGCCCGGCCTGGAGTTAGAAAGGTAGCTATTGTCATCACTGATGGTCAGGCAGACAAACGAGAACCTGTCAAGCTCGACATGGCGGTGCGAGAGGCTCATGCTGCGAACATTGAGATGTATGCTCTGGGAATCGTGAATTCTTCTGATCCTACACAGGCTGAGTTTCTGCAAGAACTCAACCTCATTGCCTCTGACCCAGACAGTGAACACATGTACCTCATTGATGACTTCAATACGTTGCCAGGTGATAATCCCACTCAGATGTTGCAACTGTTTTCCCCCTTCAGAAGTACATTCTCAAAATTAACATATTTCTGCATTTGATTTCTCAGCACTGGAGTCTAAACTTGTGAGCCAGTTCTGTGAAGATGAAAACGGCGCTCTTATTTACAACCACATCCCAAATGGATCCTGGAACAGCAACAATGGGCTTGTTTTAAGTAAAATCAGTGGTAATGGGCACATTGGCTCTGACATTAATCATTATAATTTTGGAAACAATGGATACGGGAGTAGTCATCAAGAAGAGATGGAAAATCAGAGACGAACCAACAGCAGGAGCCGAGGGGACACGTTCACGCTGCCAATCAAAGCTGATCCTCTACCACCTCAGGTCTTTATGAAAACACCTTTGTATTGTTTTCTTTTATAATTTTTAAATTCATCACAATGAACACATGATGTGCTGTAATTTGACTGCAGGTGGTGGAAGATGAAGATGGTGAAGATCTAGACATAAGAGCACATGTACGGACCGGTAGCAGTGTGTCTGCAGCCAATGAATCAGCTTTATCACCTGTAAAAAAAAGCTCTGTTTTCAGTGAGACGGTCTCAACATCCTCATCAGCTGCATCATCATCGCCATCATCATCATTGCAATCCACACCTATAACTCTTTTGTCCACACTGGGCTCTGATTCATCTTCAGACTCTAATCAGCTGCAGCCATTTATGAATTTAGACTTGCCTAAAGGTGAGGATTAGGATTTCTCTGTCTTTTAACCAGATTTTTTTTCATTATTAATTTTTTGTTTCCCTCAGATGTTTAAAATTTTTATTTTTTTACTTATATGCAACTTAAATCATGTCCTGGAGGCTTCTAGTTTGAGCAAGAAATGTATGCAAAGTGCAATAAAGACAGAGTGTGAGGCCAAAGGTCATGATTTATTAAGCACATAAGGGATGCAACATATTTGAGATAAACAAAAGAGTGAACAAAAAAAATCTAAACAGCAGTGCTTCTTTTTATATCAATACAAAATCTATCACAATTGCATTTAAAGATGAGTATTTAGTGTGTGTATGGATATGCTGTCAGGTCACTATGCCTCATTTTATTTTTTAAGCAGAAATGCTAGAAGAAAATGCATTTCATTCTTGTTCTGTCATCTCACCCACTATTTATTTTTCAGAGGTCCGTCCTCCTAATCCCAGCTGCGATCTCACTATAGACCAAGGGACCTGTCGAGACTACGTAATCCGCTGGTACTACGACAAACAAGCCAACGCCTGCGCTCAGTTTTGGTTCGGAGGCTGTGGAGGAAATGAAAACCGCTATGAAACTGAAGATGAATGCAGGGAGGCTTGTGTTGTTGCCAGAACAGGTAAGCTTAGCAATCTTGTTTTTAACATTATTTCTGATTATTTTCTATTTATTCTTATCCAGATTCTTATCGTATTGTTTTCAAACTTTATTTGTCTTTTCAGCTGGATAAAAGGACAAATCAAGCAGCAGACTAATCTAGTTTCCTTATTTTTAGTTTACTGATGTATTATGACTTGTGTTCAACAACTTTCTTGAACTCCTTGTAACGTTTGGCCACAGACACATAGGAGGTCTTGAATTTTTAATACATGTTTCATTTGCTGCTTTAATTAAAGAAAAATAAATTGTCTTTACCTCAGCTATTATTGACAATGCTTCATTGTGTATATATACATATATATATGTATATACATATATATATATATATATATATATATATATATATATACATATATATGTAG